ATGAATAAATAAAGATGGAACATAATCTTCCTTCGTTTCCCATAGTAACTATAAATAAAAAAAGATTGAAAAAACTCCATCATAATAAATAAAAAGATAACGATGGAACATACATAATTTTCCTTTCCCACAGTAASTATAAATGATAAAAAAAGCAAGAAAAAATCAGTCGAAGTTGGGGAATCCTCAATCTTCAAGCATCATCTCCTGTGAGAATGTTGTGAAGAGAATCAAGACTGAAGGACTCAACGGTGAAAATGGACAAATCGCTCTTAACTCGATACAATTTGCGGAGGGTTCCACAGTTGGGATCATACAACGCCAAATGGACTCCATGGAGAAGACACAAGATGTTACCATCGTCACAAGATTTGAGGAACTTGAGGTTAAACTTGTCGATCAAACCGTCATCTTTTCTCGGGAAAAGACTCTGTGGTAAATCCACAACAGATACTTTTGTCCAGGAATATGAATGTTGTTGTTGTTCCATCTTCCATACATGGTAGTGAAGAGTGGGAGGACTGTAACGAGTAAGATAGAGATTGRCATTAAGGACCCCAAGAGTAGTGCAACACATAATTTGGGGATGATCTTCAGTGGATAAGAAATCTGTTGAAAAATGTGAGATTGTAGATCGAATCTTTGGCAGCACATGTACTCTGATTCAAAAAAAAGGTCTCCATTGAAGCAAACGCCATGGGATTTGATGCGAACAGGCGAGGCAATGCTAGTCCATTGCCATTGCTGGGGTGGCTTCTACCAAATGCCATAATCTCTACAATTGTAATGCCTGTTTTGTATCTGCACCAGTTTCGTACTATTTTGTACTCCTTGGTCACGGGACTAAACCCAAACCCGTAGTGGCAATAGCGATACCGATACCGATCCAGATCTCCGGTGGGAAGCTTGATGTACTCATTAGTCACAGGATTCAATATGCCAACACGATGTCGGTCTCGGTCTCGATCTCGATCTCGAGGAGTTGTCTTAGTCTTGGTGAGGCAGAGGAGTCCATTGGCGGAATTGACAATTTGGACAGACACCTTGGAATGGGATTGGGAGGTGTTGATCTTGGTCCTCCAGCTAGAATGGAGGCTAAAGGAGGCAACAAAGTTGAAATTGAAATTTGATTGGATCCAAGTGGATGCACTGGATATTGGTATAGGGGTAACTATAAGCAAAGAAAAGATTTGAAATTTGATCAGTTTGAGATTCAAACTTACAACTCAAAATCAGATTGTTCCAGAGTTTGCAGACGAGTCGAGAAGTGGGAAAATTGAAGAAGGGGAGTTTCGAGAGTATTAGTTGAACAATTTCAGGTGGAAGCTCGAAATTTATGTTCATAATTTTCCCTTTTTCCTTAGCCATCTCAAAACTCACAACAAAATTATCCTCTCATTCATTCCTATTTATAATAATGAATATTTGGGTTACCTTTTCCTTCAGGAAAAGGAAAACGAAAACAACACTAAATCTAAAAACGATATATAAATTATTATATATTATCATGGCATAAAATATTTTTAAAAAATAACCACAAATAATAATAATAAAATTAAGAGTGATAGAAGATATAAAAGATAAGATCGGATTTACCATGAGATAAATTATTATAATTCTCAAAACCCAGATTCAATTTTGAAATTTAGATTTTTAATGAAATTTAAGCCAAGTACATGACCTGATTAGACGACCATTTTGGGACTCTAATTTCAAAATTGTTTCGACAAAATTTTACTTTTATCTTGCCAGTTTAGAAGGAAGCCTAATTTAAAATCTAAAAGTTTTTCTTCCATRTTTTAGCATTTACCCTCAAAAGTTTTTAAATCTTTCTAAATTAAATTTTAACCATCCAATTTTTTACCGACCACAGTCCTCTGTTTTTCACCGCCAACGTTTGGCATTTGATTTTACTTTCGAGAGTTTCGATTTCCATATCCGACAAGGAAGCATTGGTTTTTTTCTCTTTTTATTTTCTTGGTTATAATTTGAACTTAGTTTTAATGGGTTTCTATCGAACCACAAAARTAGTTTCTTAATTGTGTTTTACTCAAATATTTCCTTTTATATTTTACTGCAATAGACTTTAATACAATCAATTTAATATAATTACCTAAATAACTTTTTTTTTTCTCAACAAAAATCAATATTTCACCTTGGAAAAATTTACAGACAAACTCTCCCTGCTAATTAAACCCAAAAATCGATTTTTCTTTTTTAATTTAATATTTAGAGTGATGTGATTGAATTTCAAGTTTATTTTTATATTTAAATATTATTTTTTAAATGTATTTTTTATTTAAAATAAATAATTTGTCTAATTAAAATTTTTAATACATTTAAATTCATAACTCTAAACTTTTCATAATTTTTATCCTCCCATTCAATAAAAAAATCCACAAAAATTCTCTAATTTAATCAAAATCAGAATTAAGTTTTATTAATACACGAAATTTACTATTTCTTTTTAGTCAAAATTTATAAATTTAAAGCAATTGGGTGTGAAGTAAAAGCATAACCATTCACTATTTTCAAAATTTCCTTAAATGAGTCCCATTTTCATTGAATCCATAAGAGAAATTTACATCTATGTACAATATTGTCCGCTTTGGATATGAGATCTCACAATTTTGCTTTTAGAACTACCTAAAAGGCTTCATTAGAGTGGAAATATTATCTTCACATATATAACCATGATCTTATTCTTTCCTACTCAATGTGAGATTTTGTTTGCATTCTTACAAACCCAACAATTCTCAATTCGAGCAAAGTACCATCGAATCTGTCTTCAAGTAGTCACTCATCAATCCACTCTCGAACCAGAATGAAAGCGGATAGCACACACCCACAGATTACATCATAACTACATCTTACAAGGCTCCCCACAGATTCTACCAACACAGCTAGGTTTAGACCATGCCTCTAACACTGGGAGTCCATCCAAACAAGGGATACTTCGCATTTTCACAGTGGTACTATATTGTCCGCTTTAAACATAGATCCTCTGAACCGTTAAAACTTAAAACTTCGTCCAACGAGGTGATTGATGAGGTTTCATAGCTGTTTGTACGAGGAGCTGTGTATGTAATTATAACTTAATCAATGATTGGATACTATGGATTAACATCCAAAGTATTTTGGTGTTTCTATTCAATTTTCTGTGCACTYCTCTACTTCAATTATCTTGGGTTGGTGCTTGTAATTTTAGCAAGGTAAACAAATTATTTCCTTAACAGGCTAAATATAAAATTTTGTTCAAGAATAATCTTAAAATTGTTGTAAAAAAGGATTGGAATCGGATTGAGTAAAACGCAGCTAAAAAGRATTTGAGAAGAAGTAGAGAGGAAAGAAGAAGAAAATAACACAGTGATTTTACGTGGAAAACCCCTAAACGAATTAGGGTAAAAACCACAGGTAAGGAAGAAGAAATCCACTCAATAAAGTAGGAGTTACAAACTTTCTTTCKTAAGGAGAACAAAATCTGTCATAAGAAGAAACTCACTCTATCTTTATCTCACCAAGCCTCACACTCACTTTAGCTCACTTGGAATTGAGATTTTTTTTTGGGATGGATTGTCAAGTATGGGTGCCCACCTATTTATAGCTYATCCATATTTGGTCATCAAACAAATTTCTATGACTACAGAATATGCCACATATTATTAGCCTTGGATCTGATGATGATCTAGTGGTCATAGATTTGCCACATATTCCACTCTAGAAGATTCTAGTTGCTTCAACTCTCCAAGGGAAAGCTTCTCGAGCAAGCTTTGGAAAATCTCTTAACCTAGTGGCTTCTAGAGACTTCCATCTTCAAGGAGGCTTCTTGAGTAAGCTTGGGAAATATTATTTAACAATCTCCCACTTAGAGATTTGATTGATAATCAATCACATCTCCGCACCTTTCTACCTTGCCACCTTCATTTTGCTTATATTTCTACTAGGTCATTCGAGGATCGACACCAATTGAACTTGTCAGAATTGATTGCCTTTTTTAAGTAGCCTGCTAGGTTTTCTTTTGTGTGAATTTTGTGCAAGTCGACTGTTCCTTCCTCCACTTTCTCAYGAACGAAGTGGTATTGCACTCGGATATGTTTTGACTTGGAATGGAAAGCTAGATTCCTTGCAAGATATAAGACACTTTGGCTGTCACAAAACAGAGAAATGCTCTTCTTGTTCATGTCCGAGTTCCTACAATAGCATTTTCAACCAAACCGCTTCTTTACTAGCCTGTTTAGCTGCAACATATTCTGCTTTTGTTGTTGACGTAGTCACAACTGACTGTAGTTTTGAAACCCAGCTTACAGCTCCGCTAGCAAGAGTGAACACRTATCCAGTGGTGGATTTGCTCTTATCACGATCACCTGCATAATCTGAGTCAACATATCCTCTGACAATAAAGTCTGATCCTCCATAACACAATGCAACATCAGTAGATCGTTTGATGTATCTAAGGATCCTTTTAATAGCATTCCAATGCTCTCGACCTTAATTCGCCATACACTGACTAACTACTCCCACTGCATGTGCAATGTCTGGTCTGGTACRGATCATGGCGAACATTAGGCTTCCCACTGCTGATGCATATAGTACTCGAGACATCTCCATCCTCTCTGCTTCACTGYTAGGGCTCATACCAGAGGATAACTTGAAATTAACAGGAAGAGGGGTAGAGATTGGCTTACAGTTTTGCATGTTGAACCGTCACWAGACTTTCTTCAAATAATTTTTCTATGATAGCCAGATCTTCATGTTATTTCTGTCTCGGTGAATTTGCATCCCCAGAATCTTGTTTGCTGGTCCTATGTTCTTTATTTCAAACTCCCTAGCCAACTAAATCTTCAATTCTTCGATACGATCTTTGTTGGGGCTTGCAACCAACATGTCGTCAACATACAATAACAAGACAATAAAGGCTGTTTCACCAAACCTCTTGAAATATGCACAAGGGTCTGCATTAAGTCTGTTGTATCCAAGGCTCACGATGGAGGCATCAAATCTCTTGTACCAACCCCTTGGTGCCTGTTTGAGACCGTATAGAGATTTGTTCAACCTACAAACCAAGTTCTCTTTTCCTTTTACTTCAAAGCCTTCTGGTTGGAGYATATAAATTTCTTCTTTGAGATCTCCATGGAGAAAGGTAGTTTTAACATCTAACTGCTCCAACTGTAGATCAAATGTAGCATACATTTCCAGGACTATTCTAACCGTAGCCAGTCAAACTACCGGAGAAAATATTTCATTAAAGTCAATACCTTCTTTCTGAGCATATCCCTTCACCACCAATCTTGCAYGATACCGCTCCACTTGGTCATCATTGTTGCGCTTGATCTTGTACACCCACTTGTTGCCAATGAGCTTTCTCTCTCGTGGTAGCTTTACAAGTTCCCAAGTCTTGTTCTTATGGAGAGCTTCTATTTCTTCCTGCATTGCTGTCATCCACTGAGCAGCATCTAAACTARTCATTGCCTCTTGGAGAGTTAATGGCTCTCCATCCTCAGTTAGAAGACAATATGCAACATTACTCTCCATAATGTAGTCAGATTGCCAACTGGGTGGTTTTGTTGGCCTACCTGATCGACGAATCCCTGATACTTGTGATCCATCTTGTTCCTGGATCTCGTGCACTGGTTCAGCTTTAGAAGAGTCCTCTTCAGATTCTTTCTCCAAGTGTACTGTTGTAGTCTCTGAACTTTTATTTATAGTGTTATCATCCTCTACAACTTGTCTCTTGTCCTCCATAAAGACCACATCCCTGCTGATGATAATCTTGTGGTCAGTGGGATCCCACAGGCTATACCCCTTCACACCATCAGCATACCCCAAGAATAAACATTTCCAGGATTTTAGATCCAGCTTTGTAGTTTCTTGGGCATTGTACATCACGTACACCAGACTTTCGAATGTATGGAGGTTTGAATAATCACCTGGCTTGCCCGTCCACATCTGCATCGGTGTCTTCAACTCAATTACGGTTGATGGAGCATGATTCACTACATAACAGGCGGTATTGACTGCTTCTGCCCAAAAAGCTTTGTCTAAGCCTGCAGTTGCTAACATTGCTCTTGTCCTCTCCAACAATGTTCTGTTCGTCCGCTCTGCTACTCCATTTTGCTGAAGAGTGTAAGCCATAGTGAATTGCCTCTTGATGCCTTAAAAACTCACTAATTTGATGAAATTAAGTTTTGATTTAAATTACGTTTGACGCAAAATCAAGTTTAATGTATAAAATTGATCCATAAATAATTTGGCCAAATCTTACCATTCTGACAAAGAACACCAGCTCTATTGCCTTATTGTTTAAATCCCTATCAATCTTACCCGCCAAATATATGTTTTATAATTCCATGGACGTAAATGATAATAGTTTTTTCAACTATTTTTCAAACGAAACTTTTCAAAAGGCAAAAATTGTAATACTTTTTAGGTCTTTTTAAGAATGATTTTAGAACGAGCGATTTTAGCGAAAGAGATTCAATGACAATTGCTTTTGTAAAAGTATTTTTATATAATTTTCACAATTTTTTCAAGTGGTTTTTGTATAATAAAAATTAGAGAGAGATTGCAAAAACTTTAGAGAAAAAAGATTAGAGAGAATAACCTAAATTAGAAATAACTAGAGTTATAGAGTGACAAAAATTTAGAAAAGAGAAAAAAATTCTCAAAATTTAAGGTGAAAATAAGGTAAATAGAAAGACAATTTTGAAACTAAAATAATAACCATTTTAATTAAATACTAATTTATTGGTAAAAAATCACTTAAATAATCACCTTCTAAGTGATTGATTGGAAATCACTTATCAATCATTGCCAAACATTCTATTTTAAAATGGAAGTATGTTTAGGGTGTGTTTGGGGTGATGGTAGAAAGAGTAATTTTGAAAAAAGAGATTTAAGAATAATTCATTTTCCAAAATCACCACTCAAGATACATTAAAAATCAATTTTAAGTGATTTTATTGTTGGGTTTTGGCAACCCATAGAAGAATACAATGATTGTCTCAAAGTACTAGAAGTTGTCCCACATTGAAAAAGTGTGTTCCAACTACTATAAAATGAGCTCATGAACTTGAGTTTTAATCATCTCAATTGAAATACTTTAAGTCTAGTATACCGGCTCTAATTAACTGAATGATATTTAATAATTTTTTATATAGTGGATTTTTCCTTGTGGACTATTGTTTTCTTTAAATTTCTCTGCTTATTCCTAGAGCGGAGATTAATATGGGAGTGATTTTGACAATAACAAAAACGATTTTTGGTCACTCTCAAATACACCCTTAACATAAATAAAAGTAATTATAGATATATTAAATCACTCCTAAATATATCCTTAAATTTTTGCTAAGAGACCAGGCCAACTATACCCATGAAGTCACAAAAATAATTATGTTCACATACCATCATTATTTTATGAGAATAAAAACAATTAGAAAACCAACACATAATAATGTAAACGTGTAAAGGCGAAATTAGAAAATAACATATAAAATTATATGCTTACCCTTTAACTAACAAATTTAGCTCAAATTTCAAACATATCTAATAAATTTTTAAAAATTTAAATTATGTTTTAACAACTTCATGACCTATTATAAAAAATATTTAAAATTTATGAATTTATTAAATATAAAATCAATTTTGTGTCTAATAAATTTATGAATTAAAAAAAACAAATATATAAAAAAAAGGTTAGAAATTTTTTAGATGTGAAATTGTGATTTAAAAAAATCTATTATATAGATTTCAAAGTCTAAAGACCTTTTTTGAGCTTAACCATGAATATTAGAATTTTTTATTTTTTTATTTAAAAATATATTTTAACTAAGTCAGCAGCTAAGTTTATATTAACTTTAAAAAAATTTAAGATCTAGTCTATGCAAAATTAAATATTTAGAAGACTGATAAAATCTGGATTTATAAATGGGATGACAGGGGAGATCGCACACGTGTAATAATAAAAAAGAATAGATAAAAGAAAACGAAACTTAAGGAAAAGAATTCTTACATTGCTGATATGGAAAAAACAATGATTATTTTTAAAGAAAAGTCGTGCGTCTCACACGGTTTTTTCCCTGATTGATTGTTAACTAAATTGAATTATTATTATTACTATCGGCTCTCTTATTCATTTTAGTTAATGTATTTTTAAAATATTTGTTTTGGTTTTTGTACCGGTAGTTATTTTGATTTATTAATTTTATTTTTTATCACAATTTCAATATGATGTTACATACATTCAATATATTTTTTGAAATGTAATCACGACTTTATATTAAAGAGTTTTTGTTAAGGGTAGAATTTATATATAAATTTTACAAAGAAAAAGAAAAATTATCACTTTTAAAAGTACATAAATTATATCTTTAAAAGTACTAAAATCAATTACAGTTGAAAATACGGACCAAACAAAATATATCTTAGAAGAACATGACCCAAAATGAACTGAAGTTTTTAACCATCTTTAACGATATCGAACTAATCTTGTACTCAACTCTGTTAAATATTTGATAATTAAAATAGAGAAAGGATTTTTACCAATTATTTTTCTTTTAACATTATTATTATTATTATTATTATTATTAAAGTGGGTGTGACGAGAAGGCCATACCCATCTTCCACGCCTCTTCATTAAGTGCGCAATTAGTGCTTTCTTCTTTATTTATTTTCAAATTAATTAATACACAGATCGCTGTTTTTGCCGCCTCTTCTTCCTCCTTCTTCTCACTTTGCTTCCCTTCTACTGTCTTGTCAACATCTGTTCAATTTCTCTTCCTCTTCAGAGTTTCAAATTTCTATCAGTAAATTTGGAAAACAACAAAAACCCCATTGACAGATCAAAGTTGAAAGATAAACCCACCACTAAATCCCATTACTCCAATAAAAGACCATGTCCCCTGTCACTTGCAGTTGCTGCGCCAGTTAAATTAAACCCCCTTTTCTCTCTCGAGCCCTAGAAATTTTCAAATTTGATTTTGGGTTTGTGGTGGATTAACCCCACGAGGTGGGATTCTGAGGTTTTATCAGTAATGGGTGAAGATAATTCGGACCCAGTTGAGGGAGGCGACGATGGAGCTTGTTGAATCAAACCCAGTTCCCAATTCTCATGCATTGCTTCCATGGGGAAGACTGAGGAAGAGCAGCCGCTGCCGGTTGGGTTGAGCTCCTCCGAGCTCTCTGATGGGAATGTGGGAAGCCGGTGCGGCGCTGGGATTCGTAGACTGATTGCGGTGAGATGTGTCTTCTTCCTTCTACTGTCGGCGGCTGTGTTCATTTCTGCTTTCTTTTGGCTGCCGCCGTTCCTCTCCGATGGAGATTGGCCCGATCGGGCTCTTGATTCTGCTTATAGAGGTGGGAACCTTCGTTGATTTTTTGTTTCAGTTTTCTAGGGTTTTGAGTGCTTGTACACTTTTTATGGCTGGGATAGGTCTAGAATTCTGTTGGTGGGTGTTGATTGTTATTAGATTATCATCCCTTCTTGTTGTGGCTTCTGAAAGTATAGCCAAGAAAATGAGTAAAAGTCTGGACCTGTTATTCTGGTGTATAGGTGGTTGCTTGTGGAATCATTGTAGTTGTGAGTTTTTGGATTTGATGGGAGTGCGAGAAAGGAAGTTTACAATCATAGGGAAATTTGAGACCAAGCTTAATTATGTTTAGGTCATTCGTGAGAAACAATTGGAAGAACTTCAATTGTTCTAAAAATAGGTCAAGATAAGATTTGAAGAAAAAAATGGAGAAGAATTTGTGAAAAACAATTGACCAAGCATACCACCACTGAGATCTTTGTTCTAAGAAACAGAAAATAGTTTTTAGGGAAAATTCAATTTTGACCTCTGAACTTAGCAATTTTATGAAATTGGATCATATACTTGGATAAATGTTGAAATTATTACCTTTGGTTGGATTTTCGCTACATTTACCCACTAATATAAAAAAAAAAGAAATGAAAATATCTCCCTAAACTCACTGATCTCAATGAAAATGAAACTCTAACTGACTAATGCATGTGAAGTTCTAGAAAATCAATGCAGAAGTTCAATTATCGAATAAATCTCCAAAAACTCATCAATTTAAACAAAGATGAAGCCCTAGTTGTCATCTCTCTTTGATATTCCATCAATTTTGTATCAGGCCTCTATGTAATCCATCAAAGGCAAGTGATAATACTTTTAAACAATTTTTCAAGTGGACTAGAAAAAGATAAATATTGTATACTACTGAAGTCTAAGGCCCAATTGTCGAAATTATAAGTTTAGGGTGAAAATTGATTCACCTTGCCAGGTATGCATTCAATAATTGACCTGGATCCAACTTATCCCTATTGTTAATTACATTTACACGAGTTCTTTCACTGTGGTAGGAAACTTTTGAAGAGACAGTGATGTGAATTAGGATTATCCATTTTGATAATATTGATAGGTGTGTTATATTGATGAATCCTTGTTGGATATCCATTTAGCCATTGATATTGCATCACCCCCAAAAAGAAAACAAAAGGATTGGTTTTTCCATTTTGATGATATCAATAGGTTTTTCATGTTATATTGACAAATCCTTGTTGGCTGTCCATCTAGCAGTTATGCTTCACACCTCAAAAAGGAAAGAAAGCAATAAGTTTAGTTAGTTAAGATGATGACTATTTTCTTCTTGCTGCATCATTTCTTTTGGTGGTATCTATGCATGAACTTTAATGAAATTCTGTGATTTTGTGGAAAGCTTTTAATAAGTTAAAGAAAATTTCTATTGTATTATCTATTCTGAAAATCTGAATTTATGTTTAGAAGTAGGTTTGGATGATTTTTGTGATTATTTCAAAGACTTCATGAGTTGTTTGTTTTTTGTTTTTTTTTTCCTCTTCCTTTTAGCATACAAACTCCTCAACATGTTTTGGTCAATAATGAACGAAATGTACCACCTAAAAGCTAATAGTGTTCTGATTTTAAGCGGATCTCACTCGTATATTTGTATAAGTGATAACAGTCCTGACTTTTGATGTATTTGAATTCGAAAAGAGTGATAAATATAAAATAATAAATCAATTAACTTAGCTGAAATTACTTGTGCTGGTTAAATGATCAAGAGGGTTTAGGAGTTGGGTGGTATCCTGTAAACTCATACAGGTGCTCGATCTGTTTGTTTGAGGATTAGGCGTCTCTAGATTTGTTTGATTGTGGTGAACTTTGAGAAGAAGAACTTTGATATAAAATTAATTAGTGCTTAGAAATAGTGAAATTTATTTTTGGATTTGAACTTCTCTTTGAGTTCTATCATAATCAGAACGTCTTGATTGAATTATTATGTTTGATGGTATTGTATCATCTTAACCATCTCCATCAAGTTATACTCCTTTCATAGTATTTAAGTTACTGCACATATATTATACATTCTTTTCACTGAAATTATTTGATTCTATCACACTTCCAGATCATGAAATAGTAGCAAGTTTTCATGCTTGGAAGCCAGTTTCGTTTCTGCAAAACCATATTTTGGAGCTTGAGGATAATATTTTTGGAGAAATACCTGTACCTTTTGTCAAGGTATCCAGTCCAGTGTCTTATTTCCTCCGACTTGATAAGTCACTTTTTGGTCATTTGATCTAATACTCTCTTTGAACCAGGTGGTCATCCTCTCGCTGCAATCATTAGGTGGACTGAACGTAACAAAGATTGTTTTTGCAGTAGATCCTGACGCCAAATATTCAAAAATACCCCCAACTTCTCAAAGTTTAATCAAGGAGATCTTTGAAACAATGTTTATAAATGAACCACCTCTCACATTGACTGCAGCATTATTTGGCAATACATCCTTATTTGAGGTGTTGAAATTTCCTGGAGGAATAACTATTATTCCTCCTCAGAGTGCATTTCTTCTGCAGACAGCACAGATCTATTTCAACTTTACGTTAAATTATTCTATTTATCAAATTCAAGTGAATTTCGATGATCTTACAAGCCAGCTGAGGTCAGGATTACATCTATCTCTTTATGAGGTTCGGCAATTTTCTATACTATCTTCTTCCCATTATATGTTTGATTGCTTCCATTTAACTATGCAGGACAGAGAGTGCTACTGCTTAAAGAAATTTTAAATTTCACAAGCATTAGCTTTGAGTTAAATGCTTGAATAAACTTTGTTGTAGATGCATGGAGTATGAAACTATATTCACTTTCTCCTGATTTTTGAAGTTTTTTATGGCTATTGTTTTTAACTGTGAAAATTTAACTGACTGTTTTATGTGATGCAGAATTTATATGTTAGTCTATCGAATGCAAGAGGTTCAACAGTGGATGCCCCCACCATTATTCAATCATCTGTTCTAATGGCAATTGGAACTAATTCATCGAAAAAAAGACTAAAACAGCTGGCTCAAACCATCACAGATTCCCATTCAGGAAATCTTGGCCTGAATAACACTATATTTGGTAAGGTCAAGCAAGTTCGTCTTTCATCTGTCCTGAACCACTCTCTTAGTGGTGGTGCAAATGCACGGTCACCTGCACCTTCTCCTCTGCCTCATTCTCACCACCACCACCATCACCACCATCACCACCATCACCACCATCATCACCATCACCACCATCACCACCATCATGATGCATCATATTCACCGAGTCCTGGAACAGAGGAGCACGCACATATGCCACATAATGGGGTGTCGTCTGCTCCTGGATCTGCCCCAGTGGAAAGTCCCACTCCGAAGAAGAGAAATGATGAAGCAACTCCGCCTGCTTGTCAATATGGATATAAACGGTCTTCAACAGAAGTCAGAAAACGTCATTTAGGCCCTATTCATTCACTAAGCAGTCCTCCATCATCGCCATACTTTCGAGTAGGTCCACCAGCACCTGTTTCTGGCTCAATTTCTGCTTCAAGTCCACTGTCAGAGGTAGTTTTATCTAATGTTCAGCCTCCTGATAAAGGAAGCAGACACGCCGAAAATTTTGAAAGAAGAGCCCCCTCAGTTTTACCTTCACAATTTTCTTGTGAGTATATTACGTGTTATCCCTCATTCTAACATTTTCTCAGTCGTTTACTTGTTGATTCTCTTCATCAGAGATTTCTCTTTCTGATTTTTACTATAGTTAGTGCAATTATGATTGAACCATGGGGAAAGTGTATATAAGGTATTAGTATTAGTTAGAGGAAGTAGGTTTATAGTAGTTTGGGTTAGGAGATCGGGGTGTTGGGCAAATATTATGTAAAGAGTGTGGGGGAGAGATAGTTCTCGAAACGCTAGCAGTTAGTGGATTCCAATCGAATTTGTATCCAGAGCAACTGATTGCTAGATACCATGGTGAACCACCAATGCAATCTGGAACTAATGTTGAAACTATGGTATTTGGGGCCTTCTCAAAAAATCCTTTACTAATGGTTGGATTACCGACATGTGATGGAACGGATTCAGATTTGGCCCAGTGAGAGGAAGTTCTGCTGCATCTTTTAATCGATTATTGGGTGTTGTGAAGCTCAAAGCGATGGGATATTGGTCAAGAAGCCAAGAGTTGTTGAAGTGTTGGAGATTGTTTATAAATTCTGAGCAAATAGCTATAGGCTTCGGAAAAGGAGCTGGTGGATGTGCTCAGCAGCACAAGTTGAGGAGTTTATCTCTAATGCATGTAGGGTCGAAGTACAAAGATTACTCGGCATAATGTAGCAACTTTTGAATTTCGATGGAAAGTGAGGCAGGACAACAACATGATGGAAAGTGAGGCACGGTGTCGAGCATGAACCTGGAAAAAGTGCTCAATCGCAGGTGTTCCTTGACCGAGACAGAGCGGATGGTGCTTCATGTGTTGCTTTGATGGTGTTGGTATTACACATTTTGTCCATGGCTATTTCTAGCTAAAACTGAGGAGTTTGGGGCAGTAAATGCAGAGGGCTTTAGGTTTAATAGAGAGAATACCCCAAAAATATCACATTTGCTACATCAAATGCATGCCTGAGAACAACAATTCAAAACTTATTTGCTAGACCTCTTCGTTTGGTGTCATTCAGGTGCCAAAACTTGACTCACATTGAAGATGAGGTGTTTTTGCAGTATTGATAGGAATATTATGGAGTCATATAGTTTCTCTTTTATTTGGTGTCAACTAACAGTTCTAATTCTGTTGCTATTGATAATTTTTGTTTCTCTCACTTGTGGAAGTTAAGGTGGATACGTGTTCTAATTTAACACGCTCGTCTGCAGCTTCTGTAGGTGTTCGTGTTTATACAATTCGATGGACACTTCTGCTGTTTCTTCTTGTATGGCATTGGCATATATAACCAAGGAGATAAAACCTACATGCATATGTCAGGATACCAGTAACGACTGGACTCATCATTCATATAAAAGTTGTGATAGCGAGACGAACGCGAAGGCGTGCTCCTGCTAGAGTCGAGATAATGATGTTTCCATGTGTAAATATCAGTTAAGCAAGTTGGAAGATGCATTTTTCCAGGTCAAAGTCACAGAGGTGGCAGGCCTTTGGTAAGATGAAGAATTGGTGTTGTTTTTTTTTTTTGTGTATTATTTCTCTTCTTCACAAAATGTGAGGAAAGAAATCAGCAAATGTATCTGATTCCATCTTGATCTCAACTTCTATTATAAAGTCAATCGAGCAATTACAATTTTTTCACTGCAGAAAAATCCTCATTTAAAATAAAGATAAAAATGTGTCTGATGTGACTAGTGATTAGGTAACTCAAGTTCTTGGGTATGTGTAAGGTTTATACCTGATTTATTGTTTTGGTTTTAAACACTATTTTTTTATCATTGGAATCTCGGTTTTAGTTCATTTTGGTCTACTTTTATAATGTGTTCATTTTGGTTTTTGTCATTCCAATTTTTGTCCAATTTTTGTTCATTTTAGTTTTTGTGTTTTTGAAAGGTTCGGTTTGGTCTTTGTACTTTTAAAAATAACCATTCGATTTTAGCGTAATACTTAACTAATTTGTTATATCCAAATTAGTAAAAAGAAATATAAATATTAACCCATATAAATAAATCTAGTCTATACCAAACTTGGTTGTTACTTGTCTTTCGATTTTCTAACATCAAGTGATACGTTGAAAATTAATTTAAAGTGATTATAAATTTTACTAAAATCAAAATTTTAATTTGTCAAACATGATCAGAAGCGATTCTGACCCTGCCAAAAATGATTTAATCATTCCAAAATCACTCCAAAAAACATTCCTATACTACGTGTGTTTGTGCAGTATTGATATTAAATTTTTACAAAAACAGAAATTCAAAGTGCTATTTAATAACCATTTTGTTCTGCATTTGTAGTCTTTCATTTTTGAAAAAAATATTCATTCAGTACTTGGATTTGGAATTTCGAAAATTTTTATGGAATTTTAAGTAAATTTTAGAACTAGAGGAAATATGTTTTCAAAATTCTTACATCTATTTTTTGCTCTCCATCTAAAATTATCATCTCTCTAACAAATATTTCTCTCTTTAAAATATCATATTTTTCGTACTAAAAAAAAAAATCATATTTTTCTCCCACATTTTTCTTTGTACAATCTTTGTTTTCTACCTTTTACTGCTACTTCTCTCTCTAAATTATTTTCTCAAATTTTCTCTCCTTAAAATTTCTATTTTATTTTTCTTACTCCCTCCAACTTTATCTTTCTGAATTTATATATCTCTAAATTTTTCCCCCGTGTATTTAAAAATTTCTATCTTTTATTTCTATTCCCGAYTTATTTTCCCCTTTCTCATTTTTTAGTTCAACCATACGTGCGGTCGAGATTCGATTTTCAAAAGTTATAATAATCAATTATACTCGGTTGATCTCATTTAACTTTTATATCTTTTAACATATTTTTAAGTTGAGTTTTATTCTCCCTCAAACATAACATCACTCGACATTATCAAATGTATTTTGATTCTTTTTTTAATTATCAAATAGTAAATAACGGTTGTTAGAATTAAAAAAAAAAAGATGGATAAGGGAAAAAAATCCCAATATCTAAATTGCTCAAAATTAAGTATGAGCATTTTGGAAGACTCTGAAATGGAACTCATGTAATGTAAAATCAACACATTATCAGCAACTTCGTATCAAATTAGGAAAACAAAACCCAACTTAAACATAACTCAACTCGACTAGAAGGTCGGAATTTAAATGAGATTGGTGAGTCTATTCGGGAGGTTAATTTTAATATTTTCGTCCCAGGTAAAAAATAGAAAACAACAAAACATATATATATTTTAATTAAAAATAACACATAATATGAACTTACCAATCAGGAACTAAAGATATTTGTAATCAAAATTTACAACTGGTGGTGTTTGAATACTTGTTTTCAAGGTTTGCATCATGGGTCAACTTGAACATAATTGTCTATATCTCCGATCAAAAGGTCATGAATTCGAATCTCCACCCTCGTGTGTGGTGAAAATAGTTTTTATTACGTGACATTTCCATATAAAATTATCAAAAATCGTAAACGTACTAATTTAATATAGGTTAAATTACAAATTCTGTTTTTATAGTTTGAGAATAGTTTCAATTCGATTCTTATGGTTTTAAGATTTTTAATTTAGTCTCGTAGTTTTTTTAAACTTCACAAATCGTCATTAACATTACTATATTGACAAATTTATTTTTACGTGACAATGAGCTAATATTTTTTATTTGACTAAATTTGTTGTAATTAGATTTTAATGCAGAATAAAAATATTTAAAAAGTGGGTTTTTTTAGGATAGTAAAACTAAAGTTTTAAATGTGAATGTTGATACAAATATTAATATCGAGGTTTGAGATTTCGATCTTATTTGGACTATATCAATAAAATGTCCATAAATATTTCAGAAAGATTATAAAAATAAAAAAATTATAACAAATACTTAATTAGTAATAAACATTTTACCGTTTCGAAATAAGTTAAAAATTAATATTTAGTACAATGTTTATATCAGTAATATTTTGTTGATATTTTATCTATTTGTTAATGATGTTGATTTACCCCTCATGTTGATGTTGGACATATGAAACGTATGTGGAAATGTTATATATCGACGAAAATCATAGAAATGAAATCAAAACTAAATAAACAACCCTGAGGGCCCGTTTGTTTGGTGGTAATTTATGATGTCCATGGGATGGGCATCTCGATTGCAATTGGAGTAATCGTAAAATGACGAGGCATCCAAAAATGCCTGACATCTCAGAATCCGTGATTTGTAGTTATTCTGATTCCCCTTTAAAAAAATGAGTTTTTAGATTCCCTCTCACTAGTAATCATCAAATGACCAATCCACCCCTAAATCCTATTATATTAAGGTAAAAATATTTTTCTTTCTTCTAGCCGTTTCATTCTTCTCTGTACACTCAATTTTAAGGCTATCAAAATCGTAGTTTTCACATTAACTTTCTTTCTATTTTCTTCATTTTTCCCCTATGTTTCTACCTTTTCACATTTTTTCGATTGTGTCTTCTATTAAAATTTTTTAATATTTTATTTTATGAATTTATGTAAAGAACCTTCCAAGTGAAAGATCAATGTCTTTTGTGTTTTTATCGTTGTTTTCCATATTTTGTTAATACTTTTTCTTGGTTTTCTTTATCTAGAATTTAAGAAGATTCTTTTGTTTTCAAAATTTTGAAAAATTTGTTGGAATCATTTATCTCAAACACAATCAAAATGGAATCCCAACAAAATTTTTGCATTTTCAAAATTATTAAATTTTATGCACTTTAAAATTTATTTTTCATTAATATTTTATGTATTTAAATTGTCTATTTTTGTTTTTATTTTCTGAATTTAAATCTTCTGCATTTTAATTTTTTTGAATTTTATTTTTTTGCCTTTCAATTTTCTATTTATTTAAAGTTTCATCATTTAAATTATCTATTTTTTTCTGCATTTTAATTTTTGGTATTTTAATTTGATGCATATTTATTTTTTTGCATTTAATTCTCTAAAATTTATGCATTTCCAACAAGTTCTACCTTTTCATTTTTTTTTAATTTTCTTCATTTTAATTTTTTTTTTGATTTTCTGCATTTTATTTTCTCAAATTTTATTTTTTACCTTTAAATTTTTTGCATATAAATTTTCTGCATTTAAATTATTTACATTTGAATTTTTAGCCTTTAAAAGTTTCTTTATTTTTATTTTATGCATAGAAAGTTTATGTATTTTTACTTTTAGTATTTTAATTTTCTACATTTTAATTGTCATTTGCTGCATTTTTTACTTTTATTTTATTTTAATATTTTCTTTAAAAAATCTTATATTAATATGAATTAATTTAGTGTACAAAATATCATATAAGAAAATAATAAATTAATAAAAACAAATCGAGTGTAAATATAAATTATATCAATATTCGTAGGGACATTTTTGGAACATTATATAAATTTACAATATTTTCACTAATAAATCCTGCAAAACAAACGTGGCTATCCAAATATTCTCGAATATCTTTATAAATTTTCCTACAAAACAAATGTGTCTATCTTGAATTCCGAACATCTCAAATTCGGAGCATCTAAGATTTCGAGCATCATGTCAGACGTTTACATTCCCAAGAAATAAACGGCTCCTAAGGACTAAATTGAAACTTCTAAAATGATAGAGACCAAATTAAAATTTTATCATCATCCCTATCAAATTTATTATTAAAGCTATAATTATATTAAGTAGGCTTAACTTAAGAACTAGAAAGATTAAGATTAGTGCGGGAAAATTAGAGAGAAAGAGATGGAGGGAAGATTTTAAAAAAATTTGAAGGGTATTTTGGTCCAATCGATAAAATTACGCGATTTTAAATAACTCACACGTTCGTTCTTCTTCTTCTTCCTCTTCTTCTCCGTATCCTCACTGATTCTCTTCGTCTCTCTGCCATGGCTACCACCAGCGCCAGCCACCGAATCCCCTCCGATTCCGACAATTTATTCGACGTCACCATAGATTCCGATCATATTCGCACTCTCCTCACATCTTCTCCGGCCATGGTCGATTCCTGGATCTCTGA